AATGAAAAATCCAAGTTACAAAAGTCAGCAGGTCCGGTTCTTGAGAACAAATGAAGTTCGGTCCAAGCAGCTTCAGTTCATTTTATTTTGAAATCAAAGTTGAAGAGCTGCACAAAGGTCCGGCCCATGCATCCGTTCACATTTTCTTGTGAAATTCCAAAGCTGCAGCACCCAATGAAACCGGCCCTTGATTCATTAAAAAAAACAATTCTCCAGCCCATTAAAGCAACCAAGCATACCAAGCAAAATCCAAGCCAAAGTCCTCATTTGCTTTAGACAATGAAGTCCGGCCCACTTGCTTCATTTGTTTTTCAAAAAGAAAGAAAAAAAAAAACAAATCCGGCCCATGAAAATAATATTTATTTATATTTTTATTCAATTATGTGGAAACTAAGCTAACAACAATTATTAATGGTATATTTATTCATGTAAAATAGATAATAAGGGTATAAAATTATAATAAAATGTGACTATCACTGCCCGAAAGTCAAAGAAAAGGAGAATAGCAAGAATAAGGGCCCGAAGGCCAATGAGGTGAATGTTGCGAAAGACGATGATTCCGATGATTCGAGCTTTTCTCTTTTGATTACTCCGGAGGTGAACCATTTGGATGCATCGGAGTGGATGCTTGATTCTGGCGCTACTTATCATGTGACTCCTAGGCGAGATTGGTTCTCATCATTTGAGAGACTCGATGGGGGTGTTGTTGTCATGGGAAATGATCAATCCTGTGGCATTTGTGGGATAGATACTGTGAGGATTCGGATGCACGATGGAGTAGTCCGTGAGTTGAATGATGTGAGATTCGTTCCTCAACTTAAGAAGAATCTTATCTCAGTTGGGGCTTTAGAGGCGAATAGATTCAGGGTGACCTTTGAGGATGCTGTAGCGAAGGTTACTAAGGGATCTTTGGTGGTGATGAAGGGAGTCCGTAGTCATAATTTATACTATCTGAAGGGGAGCACCGAGATTGGTCAGGTTGCTTCGGCTATTTCAGAGGCGGACATAAGCAGACTTTGGCATTACAGGTTAGGGTACACAGGAGAGAAGTCACTACAGGCTTTGTGGAAGCAGGGGCTATTGAAGGGAGCAAAGAGTGGAAAGATTGAGTTCTGTGAGCACTGTGTTCTTAGCAAGAAGACGAATGTGAAGTTCGGGACGGCCATTCATAGGACGAGGGGCATCTTGGACTACGTGCACACAGATGTTTGGGGTCCCACCAAGACGGTATCACTTTTTTGGTCGACATTGGTTCGTCACATTTGTTGATGACTATTCTAGGCGTTGTTGGGTGTACACCATGAAGCATAAGAGTGAAGTCCTAGATTTGTTTGTGGAGTGGAAGAAGAGATTGGAACTGCAGACTGTGAGAAAGATCAAAACGTTGCGATCCGACAACGACGGCGAGTATACTTCAGACCATCACTTGGTGGTAGACATTGGTTCGTCACTTTTGTAGATGACTATTCTAGGCGTTGTTGGGTGTACACCATGAAGCATAAGAGTGAAGTCCTAGATTTGTTTGTGGAGTGGAAGAAGAGATTGGAACTGCAGACTGGGAGAAAGATCAAGACGTTGCGATCGGACAACGGCGGCGAGTATACTTCGGACCCCTTTCAGCAGCTATGTCGAGACGAGGGCATAGAGAGGCACTTCACAGTTAGTCATACACTGCAGCAGAATGGGGGTGGCAGAGAGGTTAAATCGTTCTTTGCTGGAGAAGATTCGATGTTTATTGATGCATAGTGGTTTGGAGAAGATCTTTTGGGCTGAGGCACTTTCTTATACGAGCCACATTATTAATAGGCTGCCTTCATCTGCGATTGAGGGGAAGACCCCTATGGAGATGTGGTCGGGAGAGACAGCACATGACTATGACCAGCTTAAGGTATTTGGTTGCCCTGCATATTATCATATTAGAACTGATAAGTTGGAACCTCGAGCTAGGAAGGCCATATTTGTAGGATTCAAGCGTGGTGTCAAGGGATACAAGCTTTAGGATCCAGTTGATAGGAAGATTGTGCTGAGTATGGACGTCACATTCGATGAAGCTTCTATCTTGAAGCTTCCCAGCTCTCATCAGGTGGAAAGCAACCCGACAGAGGAGATTTCGCAGGTGGTGGAGATTGATGCAGCTCCACAGAGTCCAGATAGTACAATATCCATTAGAGTGCCGACTGAGGTGACGCCAAGCGAGCACGACGGTGATGCGGAGGATACGGGTACTCATGAGCAGGATCAGGGACCGACGGCTCAAGTTCAGGATTCTATTGCGGCACGGAGACAGAGGAGAGACATACGGGTGCCAGCACGGTATGCCGACACAGTTGCATATGCACTTCCGGTGAAGAGTATCGATGAGATGGTGCCTACTACATTCAGAGAGGCCGAGCAGAGTTCGGAGGCTGATTCGTGGCAGGGGGCTATGCAGGAGGAGATGGAGTCTCTTCATAGGAACGACACATGGGAGCTTGTCGAGCCGGAAGGCGATTGGGTGCAAGTGGGTGTACACGAAGAAGGAGGGCATTGAGGGCACTCCATTGAGGTTCAAATCTAGGTTAGTTGCGAAGGGCTATGCACAGGAGGAAGGTATTGATTACAATGAGGTTTTCTCTCCGGTGGTGAAGCATTCTTCGATTCGGATTTTGCTAGCTTTGGTGGCACAGTATGGTTTGGAGTTAGATCAGTTGGATGTGAAGACGGTATTTCTTCATGGTGATCTTGATGAAGAAATATATATGACTCAGCCATTGGGATTCCGAGCTGTATGGAAAGATAAATTGGTTTGCAGGTTAAAGAAATCGTTATACGGTTTGAAGCAATCTCCTCGACAGTTGTATAGGCGATTCGATGGTTTTATGCTTGGTCATTCGTACACTCGGAGTCAGTTTGATCCTTGCGTGTATTTTCGCAAGTTGAGAGGAGGTGCGTACATTTATTTGTTGCTTTATGTCGATGACATGTTGGTTGCCTCTAGTTCCAGGTCAGCTATAGATGAGTTGAAAGTTCAGCTTTCGAATGAGTTTGAGATGAAGGACTTGGGCGAGACGAAGCGTATTTTAGGGATGTAGATCGGCAGAGACAAGAAGAAGGGCAGGATTTGTTTGACACAGGTGGCTTATTTGAAGAAGGTTCTACAGCGATTCCATGTTAGCATGGATACGAAGCCAGTTTGTGTACCGTTGGGAGCCCATTTGAAGCTTTCAGCTGGCCTTTCACCGAAGTCAGTTGAAGACCGTGAGTTGATGACGAAGACTCCATATGCGAGCGCAGTTGGGAGCTTGATGTACGCGATGGTATGTACGAGGCCGGATTTGTCACAGGCGATGAGCATGATGTCGAGATACATGCACGATCCAGGAGTGGGTCATTGGGACGCCGTGAGATGGATTTTGAGGTACATTCGAGGTACGCTCAATGTTGGTTTGGTTTATGAGCGGGACACTACAGGTGGGCAGTTGTGTATTGGATATGTTGATTCGGATTATGCCGGGGATTTGGATAAGCGCCGGTCTACGACGGGGTATGTGTTCACTTTAACCCGTGCGCCGGTGTGTGTATATGGCGGTTACGGAGGCTGTGAAGGAGGCTATTTGGCTTCGAGGATTTTTGGAGGAACTTGGTATGTCGCAGCGGTCCGTCACCATTCATTGTGATAGCATGAGTACTATCTATTTGGCAAAGAATCAGGTTTTTCATACGAGGACGAAGCACATTGACGTTCGTTATCACTTCGTTTGGGATGTTCTTGAAGATGGCGATGTGAAGATTGTGAAAGTTCACACAAATGATAATCTGGCGGATATGCTCGCTAAGGTGGTTCCGAGCAACAAGTTTGATCATTGTCGAAGCTTGTTGCACATTCGTGATTGTTGAGGCCGTTGACGGCCATTTGGATGAACTACGGGCGGCTTGATCCCTTGGGAGAGGGGGTACGTAGGCAACCACATTGGTGCAGCCGAGTTTAGAGAGACGACACATTGGTGCTCATGTTGGTGTCGGCTCAGTGTTGGGAACACTTCGCCGAGGTGGAGAATTGTGAAAACGGCGAAGGAATTGTGAAAAACGTGAAGAATAACCCAAAACAGACTCCACCACACCCTGGTGTGGTGTCTGTCATGGGTGTGGTAGAATCTGTCCTGCACCACACCCTCTGCCACACCCACGGTGCAGGGTGTGACAGAATCTGTCCTGCACCGCACCCTCTGCCACACCCATGGTGCAGGGTGTGGCAGAATATACTTTGCTTTATTTGGGATCCTCATTTACGTGGTTCGTTTTTAGAATCCTCATTTGTATGGGAATCCTTCTTTGTTTGGGATTGTGTTTTATTATAAATAGGACCACGTTTTTAGGGTTTCTTAAGGAGAGAAAAGGAGAGAATTAGCATTGTTTTGAGCACTTTGAGAGGGTTTATTTGGGATCCTCATTTACGTGGTTCGTTTTTAGAATCCTCATTTGTATGGGAATCCTTCTTTGTTTGGGATTGTGTTTTATTATAAATAGGACCACGTTTTTAGGGTTTCTTAAGGAGAGAAAAGGAGAGAATTAGCATTGTTTTGAGCACTTTGAGAGGGAGATATTGTGAGGGAGTTGAGAGCTTTGGTTAGGGTTATATTTGAGTGATTTTGTGAGTTGTAACCCGTTGTATTTCTCCTCCATATAGTGAAATCTCCCCATCCTCTCCCCGTGGACGTAGGCAATTGCCGAACCACGTAAATCCTTGTGTTTGGTTTGATTTTTGTCGTAATTGACTTGGTTTGTACAAGTGTGTGGCTTTCTTCATCCGTGATCTCAAGTTTGTTGTGTGTGCGTGCAACGCTTCCGCATAGGCGCGCGACAGAATGTAGGCTTGGCTTCATCTCTTGCCGCTTTTGAAGTAACCAAAGCAACTGAGGATGTTCAATAATCTTGTTAAATAAAGCTGGAAACTCTTGTAATAACAACAAATAAAGCAAAGTATATTCTGCGCCAATATATATCATAAGTTTCTCCGAATAGAACATAAAAACCTTGTGAACATGTATTCCTTTGTACATATCGAACAAACACGAAGAAAACATAAAAAAAGACTGATCTCATTCTTTCTGTGACGAACCAGTGTGTTTACAATGTTTGAAATACAAACTGCTAAAGTTCTACGAGTTAGAATCAGCATCAGTAATTTAGGATACCATGAAGACAACAATTTCTCCCTGTACACTTTAAAGTAGTGTGGCAACATCTATAGGTTAAACATAGTAAACCATTCCAACTTCAAGGAACAAAGAATGAGGCACCTTCAAGAGAACATCAGGCTCGCGACAATTCTTGCTGAGGAAAGCATAAATAACATTGATCGCGAATTTCTTGATGAGGGATGATGATTTCTTAGCTTTGGCAATTGATCGTCCTAATATGTAAACGACACCGGAATCCTTGGCTTTCAGAATATCTAATGACTCTTCCTTATGAAGAAAGCCCTCTTCAATACCAAAGCTATCAAGTTTCACTAGAACATTACGTGAATCCAAAACTGGACTATAAATACAATCACCATACTCACAAGATTGCCTATGATTTTGTATTAGCAAATCTTCCATCTCCACAAAAGCTATGATTTTAGACACCAATCTGCTCTCAAAATCGTGATCATCTTGTTGAAGCTCTTTGTACCCATACCTCACAATGCATCTAAACATGTGGAAATCTTTTGGCCCAATTCTTCCCACAAGAAACCTTTCATCTTCAGAGATATAAGGAACCTGAACAGATTTAATGCACAAAAAAACTAGGACTTGATGAAAAGCAGGTAAGTTCGTTGCAAAGTGACCAAAGACTGCTGGAATGCCAGTGACCAAATCAGCATAAACAAGCCCTATACCAGGAACGCGAACGATCCCCAGGTTAGGCCCTAAATCCAATATCCTCTGTACTGAGACCTTGTTCTCTAAGGCAAACTCATGTTTTTTCAATGTACCATAGTTCCATACATACATCATGCTCACGAAGATCATAGAGAGAACAAGAGGGATCCAGCCTCCTTCAGGGATTTTGACGAAGGAAGCAGAGATGTATAGAAGCTCTATTGATCCAAAAAATATGAGAAAAGCAATGGCGCTGATTGTCTTTTTCTAACTACGGGCGGCTTGATCCCTTGGGAGAGGGGGTACGTAGGCAACCACATTGGTGCAGCCGAGTTTAGAGAGACGACACATTGGTGCTCATGTTGGTGTCGGCTCAGTGTTGGGAACACTTCGCCGAGGTGGAGAATTGTGAAAACGGCGAAGGAATTGTGAAAAACGTGAAGAATAACCCAAAACAGACTCCACCACACCCTGGTGTGGTGTCTGTCATGGGTGTGGTAGAATCTGTCCTGCACCACACCCTCTGCCACACCCACGGTGCAGGGTGTGACAGAATCTGTCCTGCACCGCACCCTCTGCCACACCCATGGTGCAGGGTGTGGCAGAATATACTTTGCTTTATTTGGGATCCTCATTTACGTGGTTCGTTTTTAGAATCCTCATTTGTATGGGAATCCTTCTTTGTTTGGGATTGTGTTTTATTATAAATAGGACCACGTTTTTAGGGTTTCTTAAGGAGAGAAAAGGAGAGAATTAGCATTGTTTTGAGCACTTTGAGAGGGAGATATTGTGAGGGAGTTGAGAGCTTTGGTTAGGGTTATATTTGAGTGATTTTGTGAGTTGTAACCCGTTGTATTTCTCCTCCATATAGTGAAATCTCCCCATCCTCTCCCCGTGGACGTAGGCAATTGCCGAACCACGTAAATCCTTGTGTTTGGTTTGATTTTTGTCGTAATTGACTTGGTTTGTACAAGTGTGTGGCTTTCTTCATCCGTGATCTCAAGTTTGTTGTGTGTGCGTGCAACGCTTCCGCATAGGCGCGCGACAGAATGTAGGCTTGGCTTCATCTCTTGCCGCTTTTGAAGTAACCAAAGCAACTGAGGATGTTCAATAATCTTGTTAAATAAAGCTGGAAACTCTTGTAATAACAACAAATAAAGCAAAGTATATTCTGCGCCAATATATCATAAGTGTTTCTCCGAATAGAACATAAAAACCTTGTGAACATGTATTCCTTTGTACATATCGAACAAACACGAAGAAAACATAAAAAAAGACTGATCTCATTCTTTCTGTGACGAACCAGTGTGTTTACAATGTTTGAAATACAAACTGCTAAAGTTCTACGAGTTAGAATCAGCATCAGTAATTTAGGATACCATGAAGACAACAATTTCTCCCTGTACACTTTAAAGTAGTGTGGCAACATCTATAGGTTAAACATAGTAAACCATTCCAACTTCAAGGAACAAAGAATGAGGCACCTTCAAGAGAACATCAGGCTCGCGACAATTCTTGCTGAGGAAAGCATAAATAACATTGATCGCGAATTTCTTGATGAGGGATGATGATTTCTTAGCTTTGGCAATTGATCGTCCTAATATGTAAACGACACCGGAATCCTTGGCTTTCAGAATATCTAATGACTCTTCCTTATGAAGAAAGCCCTCTTCAATACCAAAGCTATCAAGTTTCACTAGAACATTACGTGAATCCAAAACTGGACTATAAATACAATCACCATACTCACAAGATTGCCTATGATTTTGTATTAGCAAATCTTCCATCTCCACAAAAGCTATGATTTTAGACACCAATCTGCTCTCAAAATCGTGATCATCTTGTTGAAGCTCTTTGTACCCATACCTCACAATGCATCTAAACATGTGGAAATCTTTTGGCCCAATTCTTCCCACAAGAAACCTTTCATCTTCAGAGATATAAGGAACCTGAACAGATTTAATGCACAAAAAAACTAGGACTTGATGAAAAGCAGGTAAGTTCGTTGCAAAGTGACCAAAGACTGCTGGAATGCCAGTGACCAAATCAGCATAAACAAGCCCTATACCAGGAACGCGAACGATCCCCAGGTTAGGCCCTAAATCCAATATCCTCTGTACTGAGACCTTGTTCTCTAAGGCAAACTCATGTTTTTTCAATGTACCATAGTTCCATACATACATCATGCTCACGAAGATCATAGAGAGAACAAGAGGGATCCAGCCTCCTTCAGGGATTTTGACGAAGGAAGCAGAGATGTATAGAAGCTCTATTGATCCAAAAAATATGAGAAAAGCAATGGCGCTGATTGTCTTTTTCTTCCACACAATTATTATCACCATTAACATCAAGAAAGTGGTTGTAAAGATGACAATTGTGACAGCAAGGCCTGCATAACAGTAGAAACAATCAATTGAACTTTAGAGAAACATACTTTATTTTGAAGGGCTAATTGTGGATCGACCTCTGTGGCCTGTAGTATTGTTGTTTTTAACTTACTATCCCTCTAGTTTTATTCTTCAGATAGACCCCATGAGTGAAAGTTTATTGACACTTTTACCCTCAAAGAAAGAAATTTTTGTTTATTGACAAATAGCCCCTGAGGGTAGAACAGGCGAAATAAGTTTCGCTCACTGGGTATATCAGCAACAATAAAACCAACGAAATAATGAATAAAAAACAATGGTGCTACATGGAGCTCATCCGCAATTAACCTATATTGAGTTGTCATTGATAAGTTACTAATAAAATAGGACATACCATATGCATGGCCAATTACGTTTGTATCCCTTAGTCCAATAGTAAGGGCTAAGCATAGACACATGAGACTCCAATTGACTTCGGGAATGTATATCTGCCCATGGATCTGGTTTGAAGTGTGTACTATTTTTACACGAGGGAAACAGCTCAGCGCACAGCACTGACTTATCATTGAGAAAGTTGCCGATATCACGGCCTGGCTTCCAACAACTGCTGCCAGAGTGGCAACTACAAATACTGGCCAAAATACAGCTTCTGTAGATAAGGAAAGGCTTTTAGAAAATGTTAATTAAGTAGAAGTGTAGCACATCCAATATCTTGAACAGAGAAGTAATTGACAGTGTCTTGCCTGGGATTGCTTTATAGAAACTTTGCTGGATATCATAATGGTGTTTGGAGAGAAACGCTGCCTCGCCCATGTAAGCCAAAACAAGGCAGGGATACACCAGACATGCAAAAGCAATCTGTTATTGTGCATATTCTAAGGATCAGGACTCAAAACAAATAGGGTTAATTGCGGATAGACCATATGTACCTAGATTCTCCACTCCATTGGTTTTCCTATTTGAATTATTTATATGTAATGGTCATTATGCAAGTTTGTAGCAAGTAAATCAGTCTATGAAGCTCATATAGTTCAGTTTATCAAGCTCCATCTTAATGTGAAACTAAGGGAATTGAGCATTCAGGAAGTCTAATTGCAACAATAGAAATATAGGGGTCTATCCACAACTTGGCGATGGTACAGGTGATCTAACTGTAATTAACCCAGACAATTAATTTTTGATACAGTAATTGAATGGAGTTCACTTACCTTAATTGAACGCGGAGAGAAATGACCCAAATTGGCAAACATAGTCTCTGAACCTGAATAAAAGGACTCAATACATAAGAATCAAACAGTACTTGTCAAGTTCTTCAATCTTCTTTAGTGTGAAGAACATAAAGATTATTTTACAGTGAATGTGGAGAAATTATAGCACCTGTAATACAAAGGACAACTCCTCCTAATGACTTCCACCCTTCTATACCAGTGCTTTTGAGAAACCTATACATGTAATATGGTGAAAGTGCGCAAAAAATCCCAGGATTCCATCGACAGATGTTATATATTCCGATGCCACTAACACAAAGAAGCCAAGCTATGACAATCGGTGCAAACATGAATCCAACCCTGTGTGTTCCATGGTGCTGGAGGGAGAAGAGAACCACCAAGATTATGCACGAAATCATGACAACATAATCTGGAAAGATATTGATAAAATAAAAATGTCAATCTAGAAAATCACCTCACATCAATTTAAGGGAAAGAAAAAATTTACAGAGCTTACTTTCATGAAGACCTGTAATTTTCACCCTGACTCCTGACACTGCAGAAAGAACTGAGGAAAAAAAAAGAAACTCCACATAAATTCCCCTCGCACGAAAGCTAGACATACTTAAAAGACACTTAGGTTTAAGCAAGGAAATTTCCCCGCATCACGGGGCATTGTGACAAGAATTATACTCAAGAAAAATCATGTTCATTTGATGGGCCTTCCAAGGTGGCAGGTGTCTAGAACAGAAACTAATTGGTGCAATTTTGAGCATAGTAACGACCTTATTAGCAGGAAGGGGTGATCTGAACACTAAGCATTCCTATATTGGGAGAGTTAATTATGATGGCTGCAAAAACGCAGGGTAGTTAATTATGATGGCTGCAAAAATGCAGGGTCAAATAAACATTTACATAGCCTAGACTATAGACCTTTAGTCGTTTTTTTTCCATACAACCCAAGAGCAATTGACTAGACTATCTATGAACCAAATTTGTAATTTTGATTCAGAGCAGTAATTCAGAGCATTTACTGCCTCCATAACTACATAGTTTCTGAAAACACAAGAACAGATAAAGCAAGACATTTATTAATTCAGTGCTCATTGGTAAACAAGGACTCATAAAATGACATATTAATCTGCTGATAATCACGAAACAGATAGAACAAATTTATAGTTCACCTGAGATGGTTGGCGTCAGCACTCCATCACCAATAGCCATACAAGTTCCAAGTAAAACAAGTATTAATAAGCCCTTCTTAAATCTCGGATGCTTACTGAAGAAGCCCTTAATCATAGAACTCTGCCAAGTATCAGCTGCGCATTCTGCATCATAAGCTGCCAAGCTCTCATCATCTGCTTGTTGATTAGGCAGGATACATAACCTTGCATGTCTGCAAAGCAGTGAATACAGGGCAAAGGTACCACCTGGTTACGATCGGGGAAAAGAATAAATGTCACCGCCTATTTTGTAAATGTCATGCTTTATTGAAAAGCTTCTTCATGATTTGCATCTTTATTCTAACATCTAAGTGATCTTGATAGAATGTAAGAAGAAAATGTAACATATTACAAAGACTTCCCAATACATAACACGTTACCAAGTTCTCATTAGTAGTAAGATAACTTTCCCATTTAGATAAGAAAGAAATTAATACAGACTTCATCTGAAAATACTCCCTTTAATATTTATAAGGAACATTACATATTATGCCTAGATGCATTTACATTAGGAGGATTAACTGTGGATAGACCCTTTGCAGTGTTGCTATTCTGACCGTACTACCCCTTTAGTTTTGTTGTTGTCAATGAACTCCCAAGTGAAACTCTTTTGACTCTTTTACCATCAGGGGGGTTATTTGTCAAAAAATAATATCTTTCTTTGAGGGTAAAAGATTCAAAAAAATTCAGTCAGGGGTCTATCTGCAACAATAAAACTAGAGGGGTAATAGGTTCAAAACAGCCATACTACAGGGAGCGTACCACAATTAACGTAGACAAGTCATTTCTCTTTTATTTAACCATTACATGTAATTTAGAGCAGACTAGGTCACACAAAATTCAAGACAGTTTTAGCTCAGTATATCCTTCTCTAATTTTCTCATGATAATTCAAAACAAACGAACAATGATAACAATCCAAAGCAAAGTATGTGTGGTGAAGATTCCAAGACTTCCGAAAGGAAACTGTAATGGTTTGTGAGATTCTACCTTCTCCATTATCATCTGCCGAAAGCACAAAACAAATGTATTTGAAAAGAGGGATGAGCGTGAGAGTCCAAAAGATAAAGGAAAACACTCCGAAGACTTCTTCGTCGTTCTCATGGAGGCTCAATTTCCCCGAGAAAGTGGTCTTGTAGACATATAAAGGAGAAGTACTAAGATCTCCATAAACCACACCAAGACTCTGGTAAGCAAGAATAAGCACATCCCTGTAAGAGGACCTCTCCTTATTCTGGTTCAAAGATATCCACGCCAACACAAGTAAAATTTCGTCAGAAAATAATGCATAAAACAGCAATGAGAGGGTAAGGTAAATGATAGATAACTTCATGGCCCAAATCAAGCTATTTTGCTATGATCTACTAAAAACAATTACAAGATACAAAAATTCTTCTACCACTTTTTGAACAGTAAGTTCCTTCTAATACGAAAGGGGGAAATAGCCATCATATTCAATGGACAAGTGCACAAATTTAAAATCCTACCAATGTAATAAAAGAGGTAATGGAACTGAGATCGAGTAAAGTAGATTTCTCCAAATGACAAAGGGGGAATCTTCTAATAACCTTAATAGAAATTTTGTAAGCTATCTACTAAAGACCCATAAATGGACATCTTTCTCCAAAGTCCAAAATCAACCCACATGGAGAGATTAATGACAATAGCAGAAAGAAGAAATTTATCAAGCCCTCCAATGGTAAGAAACATTTTTCACCAGCCTAAAAAAATTGCACCTCACAAAATGCCAAAATAAACATAGAGCAACTTGCACGAATTTTCAGGAAGAACTTATTAGGGTAATAACCCAAATCCACATCAGCCAACGCTAGAAAACAATGGAGAGCAGCAGAAAATGAGGATATAGGCCCAAACACAAACAAGGACACCTAAGATAACCAAAACCCATGATTTTGGTGTTTAACTGCTTAATAGCCGCATTTCTCCTATACAAAATGAGATATTTTTCATGACCCACATCAGCAAATAGTGGATAATATCGTAAAGATGAAACTTTTTTGAAAACCCAAATCCAAGAAAATTGGAAGAAAAAAAATGAGAGTGAGAGGGAGAAAGAGAGAGAGAGAGGAGAGAAAATGTACTTGGGCTCGGGAGCCGTCCTCAGATGCAACCGTTGCTGGGTTCGAAGGGCTCATTGAAGAGCAGAGTCGAGTTCAAGAGGAGAGAGAAGAAATGGAGGGGGATTTATAGAGGGGAGAGAGGAAGGGAGAGAAATAAGAAGAAAGTGAGGAGTAAGTGAGGGGCGATTAAAGCGTGGGCGTGGGGGTGATTAATACTAAATGGGAAGTTAAGGCATGCATTTGTTGATGAAACAAGCGTTTTGTTTATTGGTAGATAATATATATATACATCCCATGATTTTTCAAATCTTTCCATTATAGCTTCTATTTTTGAGATTTGGATAGATAATGGGGAACTAAATAGTGGGGTCACAAAATATTCAACGGTCCCGTATAATACATAGTGTGGAACTAAAAATATCCATAAGCTGACACCTTAAATTTAATATAAAGTAGCGCCTCTTGATTCATTAACTAGGCTATTCTAATTGGTAATCCGCTCTATTGATCATGTTCTCAAAATCTTAAAACATCTTTAAAATAAAAATCATGATGATTAAATTCTTCTAGCACATATTTTTCATTATCTCTTTAGTTATATATTTTCGTAAAACCGTTAATTTTATAATCACTTGATGCGTGAGTAACTACAATCTAATATGCCTAAATTTTGTATTTGTATACAATTCAAAACATATAAATCAAAATGAATGGTGTGGATCGAATAATTTGATAGCACATAATGTAGTTTTAAAAATGCTACCTTAAATTGAATCTAAGGTGTCACCTTATGAACACTTTTCCCATGTATATGTGTGTGTGTGTATGTGTGTATAGGAAAGTGATAAAATAAGATGGTGAGCTGATATTCTTATTGTGAACTAGCTTAATATATAGGCTACTCGAAACGATTATCGACACCGCTCATCGTGATTGGCACTCAACATGATCTATATGTAGAAAAATTATATTATTTTAAAAAAAATTATTATTGTTTTAGCCATGTGTAGAAGGGACTGTTGTTAAACTGCCTAAAAATCAACATATTAAACTAGTTTGATTTATATTTTAGAAGACTCTAAATTATATAAAAATTTTATCATATACATGTCATGACGTATTGAACAAGATGTATGATATCGATCATCAAATTGATGAAAAAATTAGTCTAGCTTACGATAAGATTAGAGCTCGCCATCTCACAATATCTATGATATAAAATAGATTTGGAAATTACTTTTATTATTTTCTTGGTGCATCTTTAATGTTATGAATCATTTAATAATTTTATTGATATGATATTTTTTTTGTTCTCGTTTTGAAATTATTTTGTAGTGGATTTCTATTTTGGCTCTTTAAAAAATGTCACTCTTTTGTCTAGATTACTAATGTCTTACGGAGCCTCTGTTGAATCTCTTATACATGTATCATTTTCTCCATTACAAGATGGTTAATTATTAGAAAATTTCTTGTTCATGGAATCTATCTCTTTGCAAATGGCCCTATTATACAAATAATTTTACAGTAAAGTCTGAATTGTTTAGTTTACTTTCTTTGTGTTCATTTTTCTATTGTATAATCCCGGGGGCTCATAGACCAATAGAGAAGTTCAACATCAATTCATGAAGGTGAGGCGTTGTCTAGATTCTAGTAGGCACATTGTTTTTATCAAGTTAAAGTTTCCAAGCTTTATACCATTTTGATTGTTATAGCTTGTCACGACAGTGCTAGAATTAATCTGATATCAATTTTCACTCAACAAAGAATTATCTCAATTTATTTAAAGTCACAACTTGAGTTGTTATGATCCAATATAGTCAAAGAACTTGAGAAAATCAAAAGATCAATATGACATCTAAAAGTGTTGATGTACGAAATCAGCTTACAGGGTTGAGATCATGAGATTGGACTCAATTTATGAGGGTAGCTCTATTGGATTTGATGACAATTTTCACGTCTAGATATAGTTGAGTATGTTTGGCTTGGTCTGTGATCACAGAAAAAGAACAAAAAAGAACAGTAATTAAAGAAAAAGAGAACGGGCAAAGGGAAAAGGAAATAATTTTGTACGTTGATCATGCTTGGTAGAGAGAAAGAGAGAACAAAACACAAATTTGTCCTCTTCTATTTTTCAACTTCATTGTTTTGGAAGAAAGAAATCTTCAAACTTTGTAATTCGCTTTTTTCCATTAGTAAGGAGGCTATAGAAAATTCTCCCATGTTAAAGGATTTAGTGTTCTACAGGAGAACTCGTGAGTGTTTGGTCAAAATTAGCATTTATTTTACGATGATGATCGTTACACGATCGAAATTTCTCATAGACATATAACAAGAAGAAAGATCATATTTATTGATTTTCTTTTTGCAACTAAGTTTCATCAAAACGATGTCCTATTTAATTATGCATTATGCTTAATCCTAGGTGATTATCTTTATTCTGTTAGTACTTCATATAATTATATACTATTAGAAAAGAATTTACCCTGCACTACTCCTTAGAATCCTTCCCATGATCGTAGTCAATGAAGATTTTCCTAAGCTTTTATTTAACCTAAATTATTCAAGTTAAGGTTTTTACTTCCATTTGAAACGCTTGTCCTGGATTAGTCTAATCTTATTTAAAAGAATTGGAAACTCGAGCACAATTCCATTGAAATACACTTTATGCCAAACAGCAAAATCTAGAAAGATAAAGACTTTTTTTTTCCAAATTTCTTGTTGGGTGGAAAAAGAGGAAAACGAGAGTTTTTTTTGAGAGAACGGTATCACTCATTTTCTATTTCTATTTATCACTTTACTTTACTGAAATCAAATTTGAATATCACAATCTTTTTATCTAGTTTTACTTGCCTTCTAGATATTTCTAAGATACTACATAGAAAATATTGTCAAGATATCCATAAAAAGTTTTAAGCTATAAAGAGCGCTCTTTAAGCGTTTGTTTGTTTCCACAGAATCATCGAATTCCACGGAAAATGAGAGTTCTCAACCAAAAGTTTTTTGTTTATTTTGATGGAATTTTGCTAAGAAAAATGTCTAGAAAAGTCGTTGCCCTCTCTGCAAATTTTCATGTGCAACTCGGAAATTTTGTGTAGAAAAAAGAAAAGTACACCACACACATCCAACCAAACAAAAGATAATAAAAATAGAAAGTTGAGAAATATTGAAGAATTCTGATTTTTTTATTTCAAGTTTCAAAACTCAAATTTCTCAGCTAAATTAACAAGTGGTAAGTTTCTCAAAGTGTAAGGATGTGATCATAGGTTGGGAAATTTCAATGAAAAAACAACAGTCACATGCGCATGATGAAGATGGATTTGGGAGCTTGTGATTATTAATGCACCCTTATTTGCGTGGATGAAAATGATAGGAAACTGAATTTGACATAATATAGTCTACAAATATCACATTTCTTAACTTAAGAGTATATTCGTATGCTATTGGGTCAGATTTCGGAAGAAATTCCCATAAATAAAAAAGACATTTTAAGTGGTCTAGCAACTTTTTTACTTTTACGTAAAGATTAGGATGAAGAGGTAAAAAGGGCCTCGAAACAAAGTGAATTTCATTATAATTAACTATATGCTATATACATATCTAGAAAGTTCTATCACATGATATTTATAGAAAGTACCATTAAATCACATTTTTGCAAATTTCTAAAACATATGACTTATGAGTAAATTCTTCATTAAGAAAAACAAAGCAAGTCTAATGGGTTGCTCCGAGTTAGCCCCTCGCGTTAATATCTTCGTAACAATATTTAATTGTTAATAAAATATTCTTAAATGTTAATATTATTTTTTTATAATGTTGCTGTTTTCCTTGATCTTTAATATTTGGGGAGGGGTCCACCTGATTTGCATTGTGATCCCATCCTCAATCATCTCTCTCTATCTCTCTCCTCTTTTATAGAGCGTCCATGGGCACTTTATAGAAAAACCCTTAATATTTTATTTCAGCAACGATACGTTTAAATGGGTGAATTAAATGTGTAGTTCAAACACATTAGCCTACTTCATCTCCATTTACGAAGACTTTTGCACCTGAGCTGTGCAAAGGCTCAAAGTGGGTGCCAAATATAATTTCATCAGAAAATAAATGTGTTGAAAACTAAGACAAAAAGAAACTTTTTTTTCTAATAATATCTATTATAACTAATAATAGGATGGATCGATTCTCTGTATTTAGTTAATGTGGGACTATTGCATAGATATATATAGTCAAAACTTTTTTTTATCAATTGATGAATTACAAACGCTATTCTTTAAAAGAGCATGCGTGCACATGGTAGGGGTCTTAAATAGGAGAAAGAACAATTAAATTAAAGGGTGTCTGTCTTTATGCCCATTTATTTACCTAGCTTTAATAAACTCTTTTGTTAAAGGCATGTACGGGGTCAGGTACATCCTTTATGTGAACATATGATTTAAAGTCCATAAAATTAAGAAAAATTAGTAGGTCGGCAATGCCCAAATGGTGATTAGGGACCCACTCCCTCTATAAATAAAAATTCCAACTATGCTGTGCCTAAACATTCATGAGGATAGTCCCATGATGTGACTTTATCTTGAATTGTTCATTGCACGAAATAATCACATCAACCAATAGATAGGCACCCGTGCATGAGCCAATGATCCGCTTGGTGTCTATTTTCAAAAGGTTTTGGATGTTTCCACAAGAGAATAGTACAACCCCAGTACTATTCATAGCTCTTATATGGTGCGTAGAATTTTAACTAGAGGAGTATGATAAGACCGACAGATTTTTGACAAGAATAATCAAATAGGGTAGGGTAAAAGGATGGTGTTACAGGCACACCCTCGGGCACGCCTCCGCCACACACCCCTTCTAGCTACAGTGCAGGGAGCCTCATTTGAGATTTTTTTAAATCCGTTATCGTCAAGTTACGATCTATTATTTTAGGAATCAATTAAGTTGTTGTCTTTTATTAGAAAATGTCTAGCTCTAAAAATTTATTAATATTAGTGAGGAAAAAAATAACTAAAAGTGTCCATTACAAACTGAACAATTTTTCACTTTAGCCCTTTTAAAATTTTTTATTATTAAAATCGACTCTTTTTTTTTATTTACCAAAACCGACCCGATTTCTTGATTAGCGGTTTAATCACATTCCTAATTAGTCGGGGTTGCCAACCCCGACTATTTAGGAGGGTCT